AAGACCCTAACAAAACCAGAAACCTCTCTTCCCCCATGCACATATACATAATTTTTAAATGTACTCCCTGTTTCTCTTTCAGTTGAAAATCCAATGATCTCTCAATCTGAAACTTGGAAAGCATAAAATCTATTGAATTCTATAATTGCATCCTCCCCTGATTTGCTCTCCCTACATAGGTAGTAGAACAGTGGGATAAATCACAAATTTGCTAAATTGTTTCCCGCCCACCTGCAGCAAACTCCTAGTGATTAACATCATCAACATTTTTATTATATGTGCCAGTTTGTGGGAAGTTAAAAAATATTGCTTGTAAATAGCACCGTTAACAGTAAAGGAAAAAAACATAAACAATATGGTAAACAGAACATCACATAATACGTCATTTTCCCTACAGAACAGATACACATCTGAAACCCTTTCAGTACATTCAAACTACATTTTGGACCTGATACTGCTTTTTTGGACTCAAAGCTCCAACTGCTTCCAGTACATAGTCAAAGCAGGATTAGGCCCTTTGCCGTGCAAGGTCGGAACACTACGTTAAAATGCTTACAGTGAAAAACAATTGATTTAGAACAGCTGAGTCAAATGGATGATTAAAACAGAATGGTTTGGGGGGGGTGTATAACAGTAAAGGCAATCTTTTTATTGCTTTTTTAAAACATGAGACAAGGATTTAAACACAATTATTTATAATCCAGTTTGACAACTGTCTAGAGTATGTACAATATTGTGGCATAATGATCTGGTACAAAACACTACCTTGCGTTGAATACAACTCTTTACAACACAGCCATATTTTGGCCTGTCTTTCAGTGGTGTAAATAGTGAATTTTGCCATGGGATGAGGATGCACAGTTTTCTGGGATTAATCGAGATTTACACCCATCTAGCAAAAAGGAAATTTTTATGCTCTAATCAGACAACGATGATGCATTATAAATTAGTTAAATGTCAGACCATGCCGGTATTGTTCATGCTATGTAATGTCAGTGGCTCTCGTTTGAAAAAAAAAATAAAATAAAAATCATCACAGTCAGTTTTAGTACTGCTTTTACAGCTCTTCTGTCTCAATTATAATGGAGAAGATTCAAAACACCCTTAAGGGTCTGATTCCAGAATCTAAGTAGGTTAAAAGCACTCATTTAAAAAAAAATCAGGAAAATTGAGATTTTCTGTTTCTGTTAAAACATGCCTTGGACATTTTAATGATAACAAATAAAAGTTACAAGACATTTCAACTTTCACGTGGGCGAGCAATAAAAAAAAAAAAAAAAAAAAAAGGCTTTTGTTTATGTTCCAAAACATAGTGTTGTTTTAATGTCATATCTGTTAATATCTCATTAACAACTTGTGCCAGCAGGTTAAGCAAAGTACAACCAAAGTTAGGTAAGTGTTACATTATTACAGACTCCATAGCTACAAGGTACACACACAGAGTATATAATAATAGCTTGCATTTTTATGGCATCTTTCATCTGAAGATCTAAGTACTTTATAAGCATTAATTAATTAAGCCTTCTAATGCCATGAACAGAACAGTGAGTTGGCTTGTCCAAGGCTACAAGCTGGGAACAGAATGCAAGATTTTTAGCTTTACTTACGCACATGGAACACCAGACAAGTTTACATTCCCGTCCTGGGAACCAGTCTATCAAAGGTCACTATCAAGGGTATTTTGCTTCATGTCTTAAAAAAACCCCATTAAAAGTCCTTGCATTTATTTATTTATTCACAAAAATGTACGCACATATATGCTATACACTAGTACACAGTTCACATAAAAATACACGTACACGCAGACACTTATAGGTGCAGTTATATGGACATATACACATGCACACAGACACACACACCAAGACATACATGCATTTGTTTTCAGTGCCAAGAATCTGTGGTCCTGAAATGAAGTCCAAACTGCCCTGCAGAAGACTGAGGGGGTTTAATTTTCTTTTTCTTTAATAATTTCTGTGTAAAACCGGGAATAACATAGTATGGAAATTAGCACTCTAAATGAATAAAGCAGTACTTTGATATCACAACATATCAAATTCCGTATCAAATTTTAAACATAGGCTGCTCCTTCTTTAGGATACAAGATGAGGCGTAATACAATTCTAAGTGAGTGTAAACATTAATGGGGAACTGTAAGAAAGTGTAAATCATAAAATCCTTGTGTTTAAAAGATGAGATACAACATTTTAAGGCCTCCTTTTAGGCAGCGTAGAGGAACACTAACAGAATACTAACAGGGTAAGCACATCTTAAGGCATTGTTTTAAGTTGGAAGGTACCAGCATTTCACACTTTGCGGTGGAATTCTGCTGCGAGTAGGCTGGTTGTTCGTAGAGGACACGGCTTGAAGTTTACTTCCCACCGCAAGCTGTGTCACCATTTGTCATCTCAGCAGTCACACACCCGGGGCCTGCGGACTTGGTTTGACCCTCACCTACCCCAAGCGCCCCTACACGCACGTCTGAAGGTACGCGTGTCGCCTTTACACCGGCGGCCTCCTTGACAGCTTTCCTCCAGCAGACCCCTCTGACAGAGACAGGCCATTTTCCCCTGAGGACACACCAGAGGGTCCCCCCGGCCCACCTGTCCGCTGGTGTAGCCGAGTGAGGCAAACAAGCCTGAGGTTTTGACCCTCTTTAGGGTATTTTCCGTCCAGCTGCGCGCACCGTCGGCAGGTGCTACCGCAGGCACCGGCCTCCGCACACCAACACAGGGGAGGAAGGCGCCGTGAGATGCACACCCCGGGGCCGGGAGAAGCCCTGGGCCTGGCCCGCTGCCTGCCTGTGGGGGCCACCTCCCTCACACCCCGCGCACCCGCGGACCTCGGCGAGGCCGACCCCCCTTCCCCCCCTTCCCTCCCCTCCCTTCCGCCCCCGGCGGCGAAGCCACCGCTCTCCGCGGAGCCTGAGCGGAACGCAATCTGGAGCCGGGCCCCCCCGCGCCCGGCGGCCCCACGTTACTTTGATTGACGGCTCAGCCCTCTCCGCTCTCCTTTCCGCCGACCTTCCCCTCCTCCCCTCGGCTCCGCGCGCCGGGCGCCCTCCCATTGGCCGGCTCGCGGCGCTCCCGCCGCTCCACCAGAAACGGTTCCCAGCGAAAGGCTGCGAGGCGGCGGGGCTGAGGCCGCCGCTATTGGTCCGCCCCGCCGGTGCGCGTCCAGGCCCCACGTTGGTGCCGGCGCCGGCGATTGGTGGGCGGCGGGGGAAGCTGTGTCTCCGCGCGGCGGGGTGGGCGGGGCCGGGCGGCTGGTTAGCTGGCGGAGTGTGAAACCGCGTGCTAATGTAAGCGGGGCGGGCGCGCGGCGCGTCCCGTCCCGTCCCCATCGCGCTCCGGCCCGTCCCCGTCCCCTCCGCAGCGGCCATCGGGGAAGGAAAAGAGACCGGCGGCGTTTCCGGCCGCTCGCCCCGGCTGCGGGTGGTTTTGTGGG